CAGGAGCCAGTAGTAAAAAAAAGCTGGCAACCTTAGTTTCGCTGAGAGAAAAAGAGGAAACCCCCATTCCAGAAAAAAAAAGGGCAGTGGTCACTCTGTACAGAGTGTCACGCCTCTGTCCCACTCAAATTCACCTCTGCAGGGAACAGAAATATGTTTCCTGCCTTGGCTTCACATGTGGGTTTTCTCCTTATTTCATTTCATTTTATTTTTCCTTTTTTGGACGTCTTCTATAAAAACTGACTTGGTGACACGTTGTTGCTATGATTTTCAGACGCTGCTCTAAAAGATGTAGGAACAGGCCAGATTGGCTTCTTCTGATGCTCAGTTGGCATTCTTGCATAGGGTTCTCTGACATTTTAGAGGAAAAGGACAAACTCCACGCATTTAGAAACCAGCCTAGCATCGCCGCCCCCCCCCCGTGTCCCTAGAAGGAGGAGGTGTGATGTACGGGTTAAAAGTGTGAATGCGATCTCTCTTTCCTCCTGCGTTCTTCCCCCCCCCATGGGCTCATCAACAATCTTCTTTGCAAAGCTGCCTTATTGACAGAATGTTACAGGGGACCGGATGGGAACTCACTTTGACTGGAATGCTCTCTCCCTGGGGCTACCTATGGAAAGTGTCTGGAAAGGTCAGGAGATCCAAAATGCAGCCACCACCCGATTGTTGACTAGGGTTGATCAGAGGGATCGCATGACCCTCCCCCCGAACAGCAGCTCCACCCGCTGCTGATCCGTTCCCAGGCAAGGTGTGTGTTCCAACCTATAAAGACCAAAATGCCGTGGGTGCATGGACCGCCTTTCCCTTCCTGAGCTTGCCCCGGTGTCAAGATCATCAGGGGAGGCCTTGTTCTCGGTCTCACCACCTTGATAGGTGCGCTTGGTGGAAACACGGGCCTTTCTCAGTGGCTGCTCCCCAGACTGTGGAACTCCCTCCCACTGGAGGCCAGGCCGGGGCCCGTCTTGGCTGTCCTTCTGCAAGGAGACAAAGACCTTTCTCTTCGGGCAAGCTTTCCCTGAGTGGGTTCTTTTTAAACGGATGGTTGTGCCTTTCCTGCTTCGAAGGTGCTTTTAGTTTTGCTTCTGTTTACTATTTCTCAGAGTGGCATTTGTTTCCTCCTTTTGAGTATTTGTATACACACTGCTCTTAGCTTTGCATACTGTCTTTTAATTGCTGTAAGCAATTAAAAGGCCTTTTAAGGAGAAAGACAAAGTAAAAATGTACTACAGAAATAAAAAATAAATACATCAGTGTGCCGAGAAAGCCATGATTATTTCCCATCTACAGATCTGCAGGCCTGGTTTTCGACACACGGGGGCAGATGGCTCCCACTGCTGGCAGGCTGCAGAGATTTTTTTTCTCCAGGTAATTGAGATCTTCCTCCAGCTAGGACTTTTTGCCACCAAGTTTCCTTTTCTGTCCCGTTATGCTATACTGAACACGCAGTTTCACACTCTTATTTCCATTTCCGGCCTCCGGTGAGAGTCTGCCTGATCTTTGCACATTTAGCTACGCCTCACCCTCAACAACAAAAACAAATAGGGACCTTGATTCAGATATACTCCTTTAACCCAGCCAATTTGTTAAGACTGTTGTGAGAATTTTCAAAAATTAGAAATCAGGCAAGAGAGAAATGGAAGAGAGATGAAGATCAGTTAGGGATGAGTTAGAGAGATGAGTTAGAAGTTAGAAGTTGGAGTTAAGGATATCAGTTAGAGAGAAGCCGTTTGGGCAGTTAGGTGACCCGTGCTATAAGAAAGCATTCATCAGACATTTTCAGTAAATCTGCAAAGTATTTGAATATACACGAATTGTGTTCGGCACGTTTTTGTGTGTGTGTGTGTGTGGAGTTGATTTCTGTCCAAGACCTCCTTAGCTTTGAGAAAGGAAGACTGAGGGGGATATGATAGGATTTTTCGAATACTTGAAAGGTAGTCATACAGAGGAGGGACAGGATCTGTTCCTAATCATCCCAGAGTGCAGGATGCATATTAATTAATAGGCTGAAGCTAGAGGAAGCCAGATTTAGGCTGAATATTAGGAAAAACCTCTTAACTGTTAGAGCTGTATGACAGTGGGACCAATTAACATCAGAAGGTGGTGAGCACTCGAACACTGGAGGCATTCAAGAGGAAACTGGTCATCCATCTGTCATATTTGATCTGGACAGCTGTGCTGAGCAGGTGGTTGGACTCAATGGCCTTAGAGGCCCCTTCCAACTCAGTTATTCTATGATAATCCCACCCTCTTTCAGGAATACACAACCCAGCCCTTCAGAAATAGATGATCTTAGAACTGCATTGCTGGAAGGGACCCTCGTGATCTTCAAGTCCAGCCCTTGTCAGGGAGGCACAGTAAGGGAATGAAACTCCCAGCCACTGGCCCCACAGCCAGAGACCTCCACCGCTGGGCTATCGTAACAGTTAGATGATGTCAACAAGTCAGGCATTAAAACTGTGAACATTTATGAAGGTAACAGGCCAGGCCAAATTTACCATTTATTCAGCATATACTGTCTTTTGGCAGTGCAGCAAGCAAACCATAATCCCTCTTACAATAGCAGAGGGAGGGAGAAATAAAAGGTGAATGTGTGCAAATCCAGTTCTACAGGTGTGTCCTGTGACTTCTCAGAATGAATTATTGTATCCAGAAATCAACAGCAGGCATTATCAGCTCGGGTCTCCCTTTTTCCTTCCTTTTCTTGTTTATTATTACAGATCTTCCCAAGCCAGCTGTAATGAATCTTGCAGTGGGGGAAAAGAAGGTGGCGGGAGGTTCCTATTAACCTTGGCCATAGAGCCCTCCCTTCCTCCTCTCCAGAAAACCCTTGCCAGTCACCCGCCCCTACTGCGTCCTGCATCCTGACAGCTTCGTTAGCCCTCTGCTACCAAGATTACAAAGCAGGGAGACCGTTTTACTATCACTGGACAAAGATAGCAAAACAGATGTCCCAACATTGTTCCAGCCCCCTTTTGGCTCTAGATCAAAGTCAAGGAGAGAGAGA